ATGATGATGATGAACCATGGTGGTGGTAATCGTCATCACCATCAACAAAATCATCACCAACAAAATTATCACCACCAAAACCATCACTCTTTTCAGGGCATGCAAATGCAGTCTTTTATGCACCAAAACCAACAATATCAGCAGCAGCATCACCACCAACAGCAGCAACAGAACTTTATGCTACCACCGATGAACTTTATGCCTCACCCTGGCTATATGAGCAATTCAGGAGGGGGAGGAAGTTTTGAGGAGGGCAGCGAGGGCAACCCAATCAAGGGGGCGGTTATCTCTCATCACCACGAGCAACAGGTGTTCAATGTGCCCGGGCAGTTTATGCAGCAGCAGCAGCAATACGGCGAGCCGACGATGGTCCACATCGAGGGCAATGTCTACCCGATCACCCTAAGCTGGAACACGTAAGTGCCTTGCAGACAAATTAAATTACTGAACCTATTTTATTTGCACCAGATTCTCTAGTCCACTGATGGAGGGGCACCAAGACAGTGAAGGGGCGTACTCCTCGCACGCTGAGCTCGTCTCGCATACGCACCACAAGCCAATCTACCGTGAGGTAATAAATAGACTAAGGTTTTAATTAACTAACCACCGATTTCTCCTAAAAAGGTCCACCAAATGGTCAGTGGCAGTCCTTACCACCACGATAATTGGAACTACCACCAAATGGGACACCATCAAAACAGTGGTGGTGATCATCATCACTATCATCATCAGCAACCGCCACCACCACCACCACATCAACTGTATCACCGCAGGTCCTCACAAGAGACGACAACAACAAGCGACGACAACGACTCACGAACTCACGAACACCATCAAAGTCACCACACGTCAAAGAAGCCGCCGCCGCCGCCGATAGAAAAGAAAATTGGAAAAAGCTAAAGACAACTGAAAAGAGAAAGAAGAAAACGAAAGCAATGACCGGCTAACTGTCATCGCCGTAACACTGCCTGACTGGCCACACTGTGAGCTTGGACACAACACAACACAATATCACCACGTCGATCTCCATTATCTCCCTCCACTCTNATTGGAAAAAGCTAAAGACAACTGAAAAGAGAAAGAAGAAAACGAAAGCAATGACCGGCTAACTGTCATCGCCGTAACACTGCCTGACTGGCCACACTGTGAGCTTGGACACAACACAATATCACCACGTCGATCTCCATTATCTCCCTCCACTCTTTTCCCCACACTTTTCCTCCCCCTTCCGATACTTACCGTTGTTACCATAGCATGAGTGTAATGTGCTTGTGTGCTTAGTAGCAGCTACTAGCAAAAACACACACACACAAGCGCAAGCACATTACACACACACACACATTCACTTTTGTTTTTCCATCAATTTCCAACTTGTGTACTGAGTACTACTACTTACTATTTATTAAACTCTCATTCAAATTGGCTGCTGCTTGGGCTTCGGCTTTGGCTGACCTCAATGCGTCAGTGACCACCACTGCTGAAGCTGAAGATGGTATTGTCCCTCTTCTATCTTTCACTGCATCCATCCGCTCTCATCTCTCTCCACTTTTTCTTCTTTTTCGTCCTCAATTACCGTCCAATTCACATTCAGGCTGTGACTGTGCCTGTGTGCAGGCAGTCGATCAGATCAAAGTCTGACGACTTCTTCTTCAATTTGCCCCTTCTCTCGTTTTGCCAGGTGTACTCAGAGCACTAAAAAGTGTGCTCGCCAAAACGCTCGCATTGATTTACTCTGCGCGAGCAAACAATGAAGAGCAGCAGCACTGGAAATGGAAATTGGAAAAGAAGATGAAGTCGAAGAAGAAGACACTTGCGTGCAAATGACCTGAAAAGGGGAAGAGGACACTCTGCTCAAATGGAAAGGGATGATGGAAGTAATAATACTTCTACTACTCCTACTGTAATGACAGTGATCGCGTGTCCTTATCTGTTTGCTGGTTCGTAAGCACTGACAGCACTTACCAAGCAAATAAACTAGTGCACACTTTTCCCGGCATGATCACCACTTTTCCTAGTGGAGTGCTGCTCTTCATTCTCCAAGAAAGAGTGGCATCACTCAACATTAAAATGAAAGGAAAAGTTAAAACACCGAGTTTGAGTGCTGCTGCCGCCTCTTGAAACAGTTAAAACAAAAAACCTAATGGAAGTTGAAGTTCGCCATTACTGATCATGTTATTCTCAAGTACAGGTAAAATAAAATGTGTAACAAATGATATTTTGTACAGTGCGGTCAACTCAACTCAATGACACTTACTGCTGCTTCTGCCGCAACTACTTGAGCAGCTCCACCTTTGCCGCAATCTTCTTCTGCCGGGTCTCATCCTTGAGCTGCTCCAGCGTGAGCAGCGACAACCCTAGCTGGTCGTCCTAAAATGAAATCTTGTCAAGCTCTATTCAATAAATCAAACCTCCCATTACCACTTACCTTGGAAAAGGGCTGAGCCATCTGCCGGAGAAACTTCTTCGAGATCTGCACCGCCTCCTCAATGCTCAGATTGAGCACCGCCTTGCTCATATTCTCCTGGATCCACTTCGGCAGCTTGCGCATCTTGTCATCACGGGAAAAACGCTGAAAAAAGTCAAAAATTAAAAACCAAACAAACACTCATCCACCCAAACATCGCCTACCTTATCAGCAAAGCACATAATGCCATAGTCGGTCTTTCCTCGCACCGCCCGGCCAACACACTGCGCCGCGTGGCGCATCGCATCAAAGGTGAGAAAGTCATTCTCCCGGACCTGGTAGTGCTCAGCCAGGTACTCCAGCCGGGCCTTCAGTATACGGGACTGCGTGTACACGTACGGGATGCCGAACATCACCACACACCGCCCCAGGTGGTGGTCAAAGTCGATGCCCTCGCTGACCTTGCCGCGGGCCACCGAGAGGAGGACCGCCCCTCGGCCATTCTCACAGGCCTTGACGTAGTTGTACAGCGCCAGACTGGTCTCCGCGGCGTCCTGCGTCTCAATGAAGAGCAGCTTGTTCTTCTGCACCGAGTCGATGATGCCCTGCTCGTACCAGCTGGCGATGATCTGCTCCATGTAGAGGTAGCTGGTGAAGAAGCAGACGATGCCATCCGGCACCACGGCGGAGAGCTCCACCAGCAGGGCGCCGTAGTTGCGGATGACGGAGGCGTCGTTTCGGGACTCAAACTTCGACGTCATCGGCACCTGGTCGTTGCCCTTCGTGACTATGAGCGGGAGGATGCACTGCCGGCTGAGGGTCATTGTGAAGGTGGCCGCCACTACGGGCGTGAAGTCGAGCATCTTAGGGTACATCTCCAGCGGACTGAGCGTGCCCGAGGTGATCACCACCGTTTGAAAGCGCTCAAAGATGGGCTTGATGGCGATGCTCGCATCGAGGCAGCTAAAGTGCAGCACCGGATTGGGCACATTCGGCGTCCGATCCTCAAAGGGCTCAATGATGAGCGTAAAACCTCGAAGGTAGGTGCTGACCAGCGTGGCAAAGTTGCACAGCAGCGTCAGCGGCGTAAAGTCGGTGATGTTGTTCACCTCCAGCGTCCGGATCATCGAGCGGAGGCGCTCGGCGCAGAACCGGAGCGGCTTCCGCTCAATGGCCATTCGGTCGTAGATGTGCTTGAGGAAGGCGGCCGGACTCTCCGTGGTGACGTGCTGCACACGCAGCCGCGACTTGACGTACTCCAGCAGGTACTTCAGAAAGCGGATAAAGTGCTCGGCGGTGCGGATGTTTCCAGGCACGGCTTCGGTGAGGATGTCCGCCGGGAGGACGGGGTTGGCGAGGAAGAGGTCCGCTTTCTTCGCCTGCGACGCCTCGTAGAGGCCCTCCACCAGGCGGTGGTACTCCGCCTCCAGCTTGGAGGCGTCCGCCGACTTGATGCCCGCCACGGCCGTCTCCAGCTGGTCAATGTTGGCGGAGCACTTGTCGAGCAGGCGGCGGTTGATGGTGACGCTCATCGACTCGATGCAGACGTTGTCGATGTTGTGCGCCTCGTCGAAGACCACCACCGAGTTCTTCGTCAGCTCCTTGCTCACCAGCTCGGCGATCTTCGGGTCGAGCAGGTAGTAGTAGCTGTAGACGACGATGTTCGCGTAGGAAAGGGCCTGGCGGGCGGCGAAGTAGGGGCACCAGCCCTTCTGGCGGCCGTAGGCCTTCAGGTCGTCGATGTTGTAGATGCCGGCGGGCAGGGTCGATTCGCCGCCGCCGTCCTCTTCGAAGCGCTCGTAGAAGGTGCAGCAATTTTCGAGGTCCCGAGATTCACCTGCACTTTCTATGTCTCCCCCTTCTTCTCCGTTTCCGTTTCTCGAAGTGCCTCTGTTCTTCGCCCTCTTATGCGAAGCCGTCATACTGTAGCACATCCCGTCCACCGCCTTGCCGTCCTTCTGTCGACTGGCCAGTGGGTGAATGCAGAGGTTCTTCCGCGAGGTAAGACAGAGGCCGACGATGCCGCTTTCCGTGCCGCCATTCTCCTCGGCGATGTAGTTGTTCAGCTTGTGCAGCTCCTCCACCACCTTCTCAATCTCCGGGATGGTTCGCGAGCAGTAGATCAGCTTCTTCAGCTTCAGCGGGTGCTTCAGCTGGTAGGCGACGATCAGAGCGAGCAGGGAGATCGTCTTTCCGGTGCCCGAGGGCATCTCCAGGACGCCGTGGCCCCGCGCGTCGAGGCACTTTTTCAGCTGGCACATGTAGCTGAACTGCTCCGGGTAGATGTAATTGTAGGGAAAGAGCACCTCGAGGTCGTCGATTTTGAGCCTAGGGAGGGAAGATTAATTAGAGGAGTTCTTCGAGTACATCTCTGTCATTACTAACCTCATCTTGAGGAGGTGTGGCAAGGAAAAACTAGAAACCTTCTTCTTTATTTGACTTTTTTCAAACCGGCGGCATGAAAATCAAAATCAAAACAAAGCAGCCAACGTTTGGCGAACGTCCACTGCGACTGCGGCGCTTCGCCTCGCGCTGCCCATTCATTCTCAACGTAACAGCTTCGCAAAACGTTTTTCTTCAACAAAAACATTGCGTTTCATCGGCTCCAAAGAATCTCTTCGTCTGAAGGATGATCAACTGATGATCATCAGCAATGGTGCAAATCCTCCCCGGCATCGTCGTGACCTGTGACCCGCAGATGAAGCAGTTCCTCCTCCACCTTGACGACACCAAAGCCCTCGGCCAAAAGTTTGTCCTGCAGGACCTGGACGCCACGCACCTCCTCATCAGCGCCGACATCATCGAGACGCTGAAAACCAAAATTGACGATCTGATGGACCAGTTCTCCTTTATTGAAGTCAACTAAAGCTATCATCCGAACACTATCCCAACAAACACTCACTTCATTCATTCATTCATTAGTTTCTAAAATGTCCAAATCTCTAAGCAAACAGAGCGGCGGGGGCACGCGAGTCTCCCTCGCCCGAAAGCAGTACCGCATCCTCGATGAGAGCACCCGAAACCGCCGCAACCGTCAGCAGCTGGAGCAGCTAGAGCGGGACAACTTCCACGACGACCCGCACGCCAACCTGGTGATGCACAAGAAGGCGCCCAAGTTCGAGGACATCAACAGCAAGAGCAGCCTCACCTCGCCCACTGTCTCCTCCGGTCGGCGGTACACTCTACCTCGAACTCGCCTGATGACGCTGAACGCCCTCATCGAGGAGGACTCCCGTAATCAGGGCCCCAACTACCTGACGCTGATGACGCGGCAGATGTCGGCGAAGAAGGGAAACAGCAACAACAACAGCAGCAAAACGACCGCCGCCTACCTGCCCAACATCGAGACGCCGGTCATCAAGCGGCACTTCTGCAACGTCTGCGGCTTCAAGGGCGCCTACACCTGCATCGTCTGCGGCCTGCGCTTCTGCTCTGCCGCCTGTCAGACGACGCACGTCGAGACGCGCTGTCTAAAGTGGTCTGCTTGATTATCAGCATTCTTTATCTTTCTAATCTGTACATATTAGTTCAATAAAAATTGATTTTATTTCATCATCGGCTTTTGTTGTTGTGTGTGTGTTTGTGCAGTGCAGCAGCAGCCGTGTGCTGAAGTTTGTTGTTGTGGTCTGCTCAGACGTCAGGTTTCTTTCTTTTCTTGTCTGCTGCCGAATCCATTACAGGCGCCAATGTACCGAGATTGATTGAATCCTGTGCTTTAAATACCAACTTTATAAACTCTTTTTTAAAACTACAAAGTAGAAACATGTCCACGGTCAAGAAGTGCATCTTCTGCAATCACGAGAACTTGGCCATTCTCTTTCAGGTAATCTTGGTTTGTTTTGCTTTATTTTTTGCATATTTATTTTTGACAGTTGTTACCTCCACTTCCCAGGACGCCAAGTACCTGCTCTTCAAGGACATCCACCCGGCCACTGAGCACCACTATCTGGTCATTCCGCGAGAGCACTACCCAAATGTGAAGTACCTCGACAGCAGCCATCTTCCTATGAGTTAGTTGGTTCAACAATAACAACTCCAAATTGACATCGCTTCTTCAACTAACACAGCCCTTTTCTCTTATCTCAACCCTAGTTGAAGAGATGAAGTCCGTTGCACTCTCTTACGGCCAGACAAACATCGCCGGCTTTGACACCCAAAAACTGAGGTAAATTCTTCTTTTGCTGGCTAATTTCTACCTTTGTTTCTCCTTTGTTTTGCTTCCATGTGTTTGACTGTTGTGTTGACAGGCACAAACACATTAGCGAAGATTGATTGACAGACTAATTGATGAGGCCGTCCATCTTCTTCATCCACTTCTTTTCCTTTCTAGACTGGGCTTCCACTGGCCTCCCTTCAACTCCATCGGCCACCTTCACCTGCACCTCCTCTACCCGGTCGAGCAGATGTCCCTTATCTCGCGGTTGGTCTTCCAGCCGAACTGGTTCTGGTTCAGCGAGGTACGTGTGCTCATCAAACTTTAATCTACCATTACTGATCACCACTGCTGCTCTTTTTTCATTGTCCATGCAGGTCGAGAAGACAGTGGAGTATCTCAGGCAGAAAACCTCAACAACTGCCCCCACTACCACAACAGCAGAAAAAGAAGGAGGAGGAAAAGAAGAATCGTCCAACTAAGTGCTTCTGAACTAACGCTTTCTCCCGCTTGATGTACGGTAGCTTTGAGTTGCCACTGAGTAGTGCTAGTGGCGCAAATAAATGGTCTGGCAACCAGCTTCATTAGCAGTCATTGCACACACAATTGCTGCTGCTGCCGCTGCTTTTGGATCGACAGCTCCAACAATACAAATTCTGGCGCATGTCAATGAGTGTGAGAGACGGGAAGGGAGAGAGAGAATAAGAATCCAGAATGAGTGAGTGAGTGACCTGAGCTGAGCTGTGAGCTGACTGTTGTCGGGAATCCCAGAGTGGCACACTTGAGGTGTCAGCTCAGTTTCGGTGCTCGGTGCCGAGCTCTCTCTCTAGAAAAGAGAGGACCTCTTTTTGCAAACCTCGTTTTTTCTTCATCAATCTCCTTAAACTTCTTCAGAATGTAGTTGTAGGCAAAATCTGCTGTGTAGATGGAGATGCTTGGAATGTCCTGAAAAGTCCATTTTCCTCGACATATCATTTCACCTTATCAAAATGTTTGCCTAAGTAAAACCCCCACCTAAGCCACTCTTGGTTGTGAATCTTTCTCCTTCTCTCTCTTTCTCATCTGGTTGTGAATTTCTGGTTGTGAATCCTCTCTTAATCTCTTAAGCAATTGTCCTCTCTTGTGATCTTCTTCCTCTTCTTCTGTCTACTTTTATACACTTCCTCTTCTCACAAATCTTACCTACTTACCTACACTTTAGCCCACACGCATATCATCTTTGTCATATCAGCATTTCTACCCACACACTCACTTTTCCTCTGAAACTCAAACTCAAACAGTACTGATCCTCCAACTTCAAAACTGAACAGCACATCAATGGCACGCAATGAGGCGGCTCACAGGCATCATCACACAGCCCGCTTGTCGTCGCTCCCTGGACTTTGCCTACCACTACCTTCAGCAGCTCCTACTGTACAGCAGGTTCACTAAAAGGTAAAGTTTTGGTTATCTTTTTCTCAATTTCTAAAACTAATTTTCAAAACAGTCGATGCCCGATGTTCCCCCTCACCGGAGGCACCGAGCACCTGGTGAAGGGCAAGCGGAAGACCTCCACCTCCATGAACTTCCACCTAGTAGTGCTGCTCAGTTTGGCCGTCTTTGTTGCCTTCTACCTGCTGCTGGTGGCCGATCTCAGCCAGCTCACCTGTACCACCTCGCCGAAGGTGATTTTTTCCGATGGGAAAAGTCCCACAACTACCAGTCCACAGTCCAGTCGATGGTAAACCAAGTTAAAGTTCTATCATCATCATCAGCCTAACCTTATTTTTTTCCTTCTCTAGCGATCACCAAACGTCCAACTCCCAATCGCTAAACCAAACTTACTGGTTCTCCTCTACCGCATCAAACTCCCTTTCCATCTTTTCAACATCTGACGGTATAGGCTCCAGCAGCACCGGCCCTAGCAGCAGCAGCAGCACCACCACCACTTCCCTCTCGAAGCACCTGCCCAACTGCATCATCATCGGCGCCCGAAAGTGCGGCACCCGGGCGCTGCTGGAGTTTCTCGACACCCACCCGCGCATTCGCAAGGTGACTGATGAGCTTCACTTCTTCGACGATGACGCCCGATACGCCCTCGGCCTGGGCTGGTACCGCCAGCAGATGCCGCCCTCAGTGGAGGGCGCCGACGTGGTCATCGAGAAGACGCCCGCCTACTTTGTGACGGAGGCGGTGCCGGAGCGGCTGCACGCCATGAACGCCAGCATTAAGATCATTCTGATAGTGAGAGACCCGGTCACTCGCCTGATCAGCGACTACGCCCAGCTGGCGAGCAACCGGGCGAAGAAGGACCGCCTGGTGCCTAGCTTCGAGGAGGAGATTTTATTGCCCAGTGGGAAGATAAACGCCAACTACAAGGGCATTCGAATTAGCCTCTACGCCATCTACTTTGCACGATGGATTAAGGTGAAAATAAGAGCTGAAAAATTTGGAGTTCTAAATTGAGAGTTTTACTAACTTTTTTTATTTTCCCTAGCTTTTCCCCAAAAAGCAGCTGCACGTCGTCGACGGCGACCAGTTTGTCTACGATCCACTGCCCGAGCTGGCGAAGATTGAGACCTTCCTCGGCCTTCCACATGAGATCAGTCGGGAGAACTTTGTGTACAACACCACCAAGGGCTTCTACTGCATCCGAGGCGTGGATGATAAGATCGGAGAGCGGTGTCTGAATAAGAACAAGGGCCGAAAACATCCGGAGATTCACCCGCTGGTGATTCGGAAGCTGCGCAAGTTCTACCGACCGTACAATCTGTACTTCTACAAGCTGGCCGGAAGGAGGTTCGCCTGGCCAGAGTACTGAAACTTCTNGTTTGTCTACGATCCACTGCCCGAGCTGGCGAAGATTGAGACCTTCCTCGGCCTTCCACATGAGATCAGTCGGGAGAACTTTGTGTACAACACCACCAAGGGCTTCTACTGCATCCGAGGCGTGGATGATAAGATCGGAGAGCGGTGTCTGAATAAGAACAAGGGCCGAAAACATCCGGAGATTCACCCGCTGGTGATACGGAAGTTGCGCAAGTTCTACCGACCGTACAATCTGTACTTCTACAAGCTGGCCGGAAGGAGGTTCGCCTGGCCGGAGTACTGAAACTTCTTTTTACGAAAAAAGTGTTTGTGGTGACCATCATCATCTAACTTCCTCTATCTCAACTTCAAGCTTAACTTCTTCTTCTTCTTTCTCTTTCTCTACGAATCTGGTTGTGACTTGTGCTTTATTAGTACGACAAAGTGAATGACTGAATGAATACTATTCTTTTCTCTACTTTTTCTGCAATTTCTACCTAGTCGACATTTTTCTGCAAACAGTACAAACTCAATGATCTCTCTCTTTCTCTTTCTCCCTATGGTTGTGAAACAAACTTGACTAATTAAATTTGCATTTTCTGCTTTTGACCATTTTGTGGATTTTTTAAAAAGAATCTCAAACAAAGAGGTGGCAACACAGCGCTTTTATTGTCTTTTTTCAGTTTATAACAGTAGTAAACTGTTCTTCGCCTGTATACATTGACGAAGAGCAGGAAAGAGAGAGAGAGAGAGAAAAAAAAAGTGAAATAAAGTGTAAATATCAAAAGAAAAGAGCGGTAAATAGAATAGAGTCAAAAAGAGGAGGAAGAAATCAGGTAAAATAATAATAAAACAGTCAACAAAAGAAGGTATAGAGAAGAAGCCAAAGTGATCACTGAGAGTGAAGAAGAAGTTGAAGTTGAAGTTGAAGAACACGTAGGATAGGATCGGCCGCAACAGCAGAAGTTGAAGCAAACGAAATGAAAAAAGAGGTTCTAGGGCCCAAGTTTCAGCATGGGTATCATGTGGGATNGAAGTTGAAGAACACGTAGGATAGGATCGGCCGCAACAGCAGAAGTTGAAGCAAACGAAATGAAAAAAAAGAGGTTCTAGGGCCCAAGTTTCAGCATGGGTATCATGTGAGATTTTTTCCGTTGTCAATGTCAATTGTGTAAAGTGTAAATGTTGTAGCAAAAGAAGAAGGAATAAATCAGAATCAAAGAAAGGATGTGTGTTTATGTGTGTGTTGGTATCATGCGAGTTTTTCAGGTTTTGGGTAAGATAAGCAAAGAGAAAGAGAGAG